TGGAATGACTTACAGCAAGACTTGCATTGGCTACTAAGAAAGTTAGTAGCCGGTAGTCATCGGGTTAAAGATTAAAAGCAGAAGAGGCTGGTTTTAACAAAATTATCAAATTGTATTCATATGAACTAACTGGTTTAGTTTTTTTTCTTTCTTTCTTTAGCTATTGCATGTTTTTTTGAAGAAAATAATCACATAAAAGTTATAAATCACTCAATTCTGTGGTACATTTTATGTAATTTACTCATTATATACACAATTAATTGACAAGATTCAGAAACTTTAGTTTGAATATGTAACATTAGTACCTTGTTCAGTTAATCTGGACAGTGTCTAGAATGTAAATCTATATAACAGACAACCTGGCAGTAAATCAATCCTTATTTAAATTATATCAAAATTGTAAGTGTAAAAGTAAAAACTAACATTTAAAAAAAATAAACTGTTCAAACTTTTACTTACCCAGTTAGATGGGTGCAAGACTTCATCTCATGTAAACCTGTTTGGTCCAGTGCACAAGAGTAGATGTCAATAATGTGTCCATTACTGGCAGCTCGATTTGCTAACCCATCATAGTGCTGTAGAAGTGTTAAAAATATTATCACGAAAACATGAGATTAAATATACAAAAAATTAAATTTATTAAGTTACATATTAATATCATTTCTAAGTATGCATGTTGAAAACCAACAAATTAAGGCTAGGAATTTAATGTCTTGCAGAACCAGAAAGATCTAGTTTTTTTTTATAGTTGTACTATTTGCTTCATTATTATCCCAGAATTTGGGCAATACCAGTTTCACCTTGCACAAACTTAAAACTACTAATGGATTTATATCAATGCTAAAAAAAATAACAGCAATTTTCAATTCTAACAGCAAAAATTACAATCAAGAATGTGGCTCTGTTTTAATATGTTACCAATGATTCTAATCATTTTTTATTAAGCAAATGGTTTTTACACACAAAAAACTACTGACTTTGTAACATCCAATCAATTCTGTAGCTGAACTACACATACATTTTTCAGTTTTTCTTACAAACACTTGGTCACTAATTCTCTTAATAAAAGAAACTGTAAAAGATTTTCACACATGCAGGTTTGATTTCTTGTTTCTTTAATCAAGCTCCTGGAATGTACCCAGTTTAAGAGTAATTTGGGCACAAGTGTTAAAGGAACCATAAAGAATGTTTTAGTTTTTATATGGCAAAATATATAGAAACAAACACGTGCTCCCAAACTAATAACCATAAAATGAACAAAAATTCACATATGCAGCCAAAAACTAGTGGAATTTGATGTTTAACAAACATCACTAACATAACCTTGTGGTCATAAAGTATGAACAAAAATTACTTTATTATAAGGATTGATAACAAAAATTTCACATCGGTATTAAAGGTTTTATTATGATGATAATTTCAATGTTAAAATGTATAATTATGATCATAAAGTATTAACGGTTATAGTAATTTTAAATCTAGAAAGACTTGAAAAATAAATGTTACCCACTTTTATGGCTTTTTTCATGTGTTTACAATTATCTTTGTCAATGTCATGATGAGACCGGATGGTATTTTTTAATTCATCACCGACAACCATACCTGGGCCTTGTGTACAAGCTCCACCTACAAATAACATTATCCTAGCTCCAGCATTAGGATAGGTACACTGTAAGAGGACAAATAAAGATGTACAACTATAAACCATGAATAAATTAGATTTATACTAATTCTTCTACTAATACTGAATTACTAATAGTTTCAAAACTGATAACTCTAATAATACTAATTCAAACAAACATTATATTACTGTTTTACATTACCTTTAACTTTTCCTCTTTAAATTATCATTTAATTTTACTGAACTATAAACTGCATGAAAGCATACTTCTAATAGTCCAACAGCAATTGACATGGCCACTCCTGTTGACCTCAATGGGCGTTTGCCTTGAGAAACTGGCCAAGGATCACGCTGGAGTTCTCCAAGTAAGTCTGTTAAGCTCATGTCACATTTGTGAACAGGTTGCAAAAACCTAAAAATGTTTGCATGAAATATTTAGCAGAAAACATGTGCAAGTTTCATGGTTAAAAGAGAAGAATCTCAATCATTACTATTTCACAGAACATTTATGTGTAACAATAATTTAGTATCAGTAGTAACATATCTACAAAGGAACAGTAATTTTCAAAGCTTGAGAAAAAAAACTATATACAGTAACAACCAAAAAACTAGATACAAAGCAACTACTATCAGAAACTAAAAAACATCCGAGTGTCTTGTCATAAAATAACAGCTATACAAAGAAATTTTTTTAACATTTGGAAGAATAAAAAACAAATTATAAAACGCCTTATCAATGGAAGAGAACGCTGATTTTATAACCAGTTTTTATATATCATCATACAGACAGACAGGCTAAAATCATCCAAATCTGAAACTTTCTGACACTAAAATTATTTAGTTTATGCTAATTTATTATCTGTATGGAATATTAAATGGAACTTCAGGCATAACTATGTAAAATGTCAGAAAAACATACAAGATTGATAAAACTAAAGCATGAATTTTCCAACATTTGTGTTTGTTTCTGATTTCCTTGAAATCGTTTCCTTTGTAATGTAAGCAGTGGTTAAAGTGAAATTTTGTTTCATAAGTATGTGCTTTCTACTCATGTCCAGGTTTGACATCACATATAAGCCACTGACAAAAAAAACCCTGCTTGTCTACATTATAAGATCTAATCTTGAAGTTGTATTTTTTATTTTGCATTCTAAAATGAATGAGAAAACATTTTGTCCATGAAATAAGAAAAAACAGCATATCAAATATCTTTTTAATTAATTGTTCTTTAGCTATCAGAATTAATTATAAGAAAACAACAACATTCAAATACTTTCTACAAATCTGTTACAAGTGCAAAATTTTAAAAAATCTCACTTATTAGCAGCTGGAACTGGCTGGCCTGGTGCTGGTGGCTGAGGGTTTGTGGGTTGCTGTTGTTGGTGGAACTTGCCAATCCCAAGCATGTCCTACATACAAAGAAATATTCTCTTGTATCACAAGAAATATAAAACTGCAGTATTAAGTACTTCACAAATTTCTTAATATCAGAATTAAGTAAGATTCAGAAATGGATAGAAGGTATTTGGAATTGTAGATTTCTTAAAAACAACAGAAAATACTTTTACAGGATCTCAAAGTCATTTTACCAGTGACTAACAGGAAATGTCAAACCTTAACATTAATAAACATCAAATTTACATTTCTTCTCCAAAATAGATTAATATCTACCACAAAAAATTTAATTAATACACACACACACACACTTGTATTATGTATGTATTTCTACCTGTATTTGTTTGGCTGTAAGGTCCTTTGTTCCTCTGAAAACATAACTTTTAGAGATTCCTTCACATCCAAGCTCATGAACCTGAACCATCTTGCCAAAAGTTATCAAGCCAATAAGAGCATTTGGTGGCAACAGGGAAAGAGACATCTGTAGGGATTCCTTTGAGTAATAAAAAAAAAAACAACTGAAGATTACAGATGAACCACACTTGGTCTAAAAATTAACTGCTACCTTTTATGCCAAGTTCTTAAATTTTAAATAATTCTACTTTTATGAAATCATCAAACTATAAATAAATCATAAGTAATAAGCATAAGAAAATGTGAAGCACCTATTCTTTAATTTAAACTAGAATGCAAAATGAAATGGTTTTTATTCAATATTTTCAAAATATTAGCCATACACAAGATCTATAAAAGCTTTTATTTTAAAAACCATCTTTAAATAAAAGGTACAGTAATTACCTTTAGTGCTGTCAGCTCTTCATCATCCACACAAGTGTCAACAACAAAAAGGAAAATAGGTGGGAGACAAGTTGCTCTCTATTAATGAAAAAATTTAAAGTTAGCATCAATAAAATTCTAATAGATCTATACTTCAGATAATAAAAGCTATACCAAAAAAAAAAGATTGTAATGAAACGAAAACTAAAATCAATGAACTTTATAGTTATTCCATCCATTTCATAGCATTTTAAACAAGACCAAAAACATAAAACACATTTGACACTTTTATGCATTTTGGCCAAATTATTTAACTGCACATGACACAAGGCTTTAGTGTCTCGCATTCAAAATTTTATTAAACTACTTCTTGTTTGTGTTATACCAATTAGTATAGCATAAAATCTAAGCTAATAATCCATATCTTAATAGCAATAAGTTTTAAGTTCTTAATTTTATAAGGCAATATTTAAAGAAATCCTGAATTTCCCCTAGTGTGACACATGCGATATTTTTTCTAGGTATCTTCTCATTTTTATTTTACACCCCCCCAAGAAACTACAAAATTAAACATAAATTACTCACTATAAAATCATCATTGCTCAGACAAACAATAATCTTTATAGCATTCAATTCTGTTTGATTACAGAACTATCAAATAGAAAATCAAACCCCTCCTGCCACATCCTCTCTTTCAGGATTTGGTAATAGTTCTCTCTTACGTTTAATTATATATTATCTATAACCAAGAGAAAGTCAAAGGTTTTCATCTGTCAAATTACGTATTCTATCACATTGTGATCTGAATACATAAGCATCAATTTCACTTATAATACAAGTTTGGTTCCCATGGGAATCACAACGACTAGCTTGGATGAATTTGTAACGACTCTTATCACATAGTTAGAAAGGCAGAAAAATTGTGATTGTCAGAGGAAATGGTCTGCTTTTTTGCATGTTATTATTCTATGTTCTTTGGTGCATTATATAATTAAATACAAATTATCTATTATATACACAATATCAAAAGTTAGTAGTATCAAATGTATAAAGATTTTATAAGAGTACAAAAAGGTCATGTGGTTGGTTAAATTGACCAAGTCTGTGTGGAGAGAGTTAAAATACTTGAAATATAACAGAGTTTCATCAGGAACAATTTAATCATGCAATGTTATTTAGTGTGACATGAGGAAGCATATAATTCCAAATTGGATATCAAAATTCTAGGGTTTGTATGAAAAAAAAAAGTAATGTTGAAATCACCAACAGTTCTTGATACCAACAAATTAATTACATTTGTTTTATTAGATGTTGTAATTAAGCTTTATAATTGCACATATATACACAGTGTCAGTTAACATAACTTCAGCAAGACAAAAAGTAAAATCTCTTTACAATAATACAGGGATTAACTCAAATCTTTGTTTCACAATATATTATAAAAAACAGAGAGATAATATATAAAAAACCTCCAGTATTCAATACGCTATCTACAATTTTGTTTTTCTGCCTTACTTTCTACACAGATTAGACTTCTATACAACACAATAAATACTGGAGGTGTTTTATATATTATCTCTGTTTCTTACAACATATTGTGAAACAAAGACTTGAGTTAATCCCATGTTAATGTAATGAGATTTTACTTTTTGTCTTGTTGAAGTTATGATAATTGACATTCATTAATAAATGATAAAAAACAAAACAAAAAATAATTCATACACACATGATATTCTACTTACACTAATTGTGTATTCAATTGTAGAGAACTGTGGAATAAGTTCGGCAGGTTGGTGGTGTTCTGAAATAGCTGCATATTGAGGAGGAAACTATGGACAAAAGTACACAAAAGTATTTAAGTTTCTTTAAAACATATAGGTTTCAAAGAATATTTTATATTACTATTGTCTTAACTGCAAAATTCATAGTATCCTGACACCTTTGAATAAACTATTGGTTTTAACAGTGTTTTTAGTAGCTACTTATAAAATAATCAATAACTTTTAGAAAAAAACAAACAAAAACTTTCTAAATACTTGTATAAATTCCTAAGTATATACAAACAAGCTGTTGCAAAATAGGAACATATGATTAATTAAAATATTTTGAACTTACTTGATTTCTTTGAAAACAAAAGTTGCACACCCAAAGCTTGGCACGATAGTCAACCTGGCTATGGGAATAAAACATACAACTAATGAGGATATATTTCTTTTCAGATAAAGTTATGTCATTTTTATTTTAAACATATAAGTAAAAGTAGAAGGTACAAGTTATGCTGCTTAGTACTTAAAGGAACCACACAGATGTTAGAGCCATTATGAATTAATCCACCACTGAAATAACTGTAAATATTTCCCTACTTGCTAGAAAAGTCCATAGCCAATATTTATCAAATCCATACTAATTCAAATGTTTACAAACTCTGGTATGATTTTAAAGGATAGTGCTATAGTATTTTGGATAAATCTGCTAAAAATTACAAGAATATTCACTAGTACAATACTAATTCAACAACAACAAAAAGTTACCAGTTCACACATAAAATCATATTTGATACAAAAATACACATTCCATCATGTCTAATTACTTATAAAACAACACAACTAACAGCTTGAAAGCCACATCAGGCAGAATACTGATCTTTTTAAATCATATAATAAAGTCTTTAGTATATGTAAAACACAATATCAACAACACTGAATAGCTCTACCTGACCATAAACATACACAAAACAATAAACCTATCTATTTCACTTATCATACTATTGCCTTGGTTATTATGAACAAAACAAAACTAAATGATGGTATGATGACAAACCACATGTGAAAGAAATATTGGATATTTGCTCTCTTTATCTCTGCGGAAAAATATTTTTCATAGTAACTGCCATTTCTAATAAGGTGTTTCTAAGGAAATGTGCAAGTCTAGAGACAAAACTACACTGTATAGTATTATACATAGTAAGGGTAATCTACTAACCAATAACATCAAACTAATATGGATAAAGGATTAGTCAAAGAAACAATCTAACCATCACATAAACATGTACCATGTCTGCTCACAGTATCAACCCTTGTAGCCAATACTAGAACATACTTATACTACTGACGATAACCTCTCAAAATTGATCTTTTCATTTTATGAAAATGTAATACAGAAAATCATCAGCTGTGAAAGTCAGTCAATTTTGGGAATTTTTTTTTATTTACTCTGACTTAATTTCACATAAAATGGTCTAATGTAATGATCAACTATTTGTTCAGGTGGTATATTTCCAGCAACTTGGCACACTTACAAACTCTTAAAAAGCATGCACATATACAACAAATGACTACATCAATAAACCTTCAAATCACTAGTGACCACTATAACTGTAATGTAATAGTTATATGCATGAACTTAAATAATGCTTCCTTGTCTCTTTATTCACTGACAACAAACACAATTTCCCTCAAAGGTTTGATACTTCAGATTGGTGTATTTATACTCTTAATTGTAACAGATTCTGCTTCACATGAAAAACAGCATATTTTGTTACCCCATTCAAGTAACGCATTTATGTTTTTGAAATTACTAAGGGCTAAGCCAGGCTATCTGTACAAGTCTTTTCATTTCTGGATTAATAATGTTAGTAATGATGACCTGAACATTTGAGATGTTTTTGTAACCTAGTTCTATGCTTGTCTTAAGTAAAATTTCTCTTAGCAACTTTAACTTGAGAAAGAGTTTGTTAGATATTGTGGTGAACCTGATAGCTTAGATTTTTTGTCATGTACACAAAAAGCAAATGTTACATTTATTTAGATGGTTTGAGGTTTGATACTTGTTATTTGAAAAGAAGTGGTCAATGATGAGCTATATAACCTGTTGTCAATTCCTTTCAATTATGTTCATATAAGATAAGTATTGGTGGTATGTATAAAATAGTTTCTAGGATAGTCTTACCATAAAGGATTTAGGATGGCTCTACAAGTTGGACGATTACAAAGCACAGGATCATACTGTACTGGGGGAAGGTCAGGTCTTTCTTTCAGTGGTGTGAACAGTGAACCGAGTGGAACCACTAATCTTGTAGCTTCAAGTCGACTAGAGGGCCATACATTCCAACTAAATCGAATTCCATCTCGATCTTCGTTCTGTTGGATAAAGTCTTGGTACGTCTGGTAGCCAGTCATTCTCCCTGTTAAGTAAGAAATTAATAGAGGTTGAATATATATATATATTCAAAGTTAGTAGTTTATTCTAAAAGTGAAAATAAAATAAAAAACCTCAAGTAATTGATGTAATGCAGAAGAAAGTTCATTTTGATTTTGAAAACAAAAACAGCTTGCCAAAGTACCTTTAATTTATTCATTTATTGGCAGTTCAAGTGTATAATGGTACTGTTCTAATAAAGAAAACTTATCAACATTTTAAATCATCTCACTAATCTTATTGTATAGTGGGCTAGTTTTGATACAGTCAACTGTGATCAAACAAGGGCTTAGTCACAGAATATTTATCCCGAAACGAAGCCATTTCTGTTCAACTTAAAAGAAATGATTAAAAATCTACAAAATAACTAGCTTGAGAAAATAAATACTCATCATTTAAATTAAAGTAAGCTGAATGAATACTGCTAAATATCATATAGATATATTAACATGCTTCATATAATGGTTATGCTCTTGGGTTAAGCTTGTTTTGATTTTCTAGTTGTCCACAAAGTTGTACCACCTGCATTATCCGTGACAAATAACTTAGGAAATGTTTTATTTAGAGTTAATGATATCCTAAATACACTATAATTCTACCAACACCCAACATTCATATCAGGAACTTTAACCCTTTAGGGTTGGAGGAGGAGGAGTCACTGATTTTCCTTCTCACAGTGGAAATACTTAACCAAATTGAACAAAATTTGCTATAAACTCACTGAACAATTATAGTTTTAAGTTTAAAAAATTCAAAGGGTTTAGTTTTTAATATTTTTTTATGTTGTTAAATTTCCAAAATTTTGTTGTGAGACACCTTTTAGTAAAAGCATTAAAATACTTTTTACAATTTCAATTTCTTTTTGTTGATCATAAAGTTCCATTTCATATAACCAGTCAATTTAAACTTAATTTATTAATATATTTCTTTTTAAACTAATTTGCCAATTGCAGTAGTCACCACATCTAGCTATAAATTGTACAGAAAAAAACAAAAAACAACTATATAAATTGGCAAGATTTAACAGTGCTCTAAGACTTGACCTTTCCAACTAGTATCCAGCCAATTTAGGTAATATTTTTGTCAACAGTATTCTTGCTAAAAATCAATGTATATTGAATAAATGTAGTATAGTTTACAGAAAATATATTTTACTTATGTCAATTGTTTGAATAACATTCAACAAATAAAGATTTGAGCACCGAAATATGTTACAATTACTACTGTACTCTCTAAACCTAATAACACTTACCCAGTGTCTTGTTACAGAAAAAATGGCCAAATGTTCAAACAAATGTAATTTAACATGAAAATATTTTCAGGAACAAAAACAATGTTTAAAGAAATTATAAAACAGATATGTGGTTTGTCCCTAAACCATCTAAACTCCCCACTACACTTTTTTGTTCTCTGTGAAAGACAGATCTTATTATTTTCACATGAAACCATACATTACTTCACTTTAATTCACTCTATAATGATGTAAATATTTTATAATTTGCTCTATCCAATGGTATTTAAATTTTGCCATGGCTATTTTAAAGGTTGATTTTCATTAGTAATTGTTCAATTAGCTGCTGAGGGGTCATAAAAGGGTGAGAATCAAGGGATTGTACAAATAAAATGCAGATAAAGAGAATCAAATGAGAAATAAGCCATCAATAATTATATTTATCTAGTTTATGAAGATGACAATTTCCCAGTGACTATTTGGTCGGTATGTCATTGAATCGAATAGTATGAATACCCTTTCATTTTCCAGGTACTTGAGGAATGACATAGCTGAATGGGAGGTATGATTGGAAACCCTATCTTTATGAACCCATATCCTGTTGGCCTCATTTCCATACAAAGTCGATATTTCTCTAGTATAGAGGGTCCAAAACCTCATTCTCATAGCAAGCAAAGTTCACCTTGACTTTTGTATTATTTTTTCAACCCTGGTGTAGTATCCAGCAACGAATCATGAATCACTTCAAATAGGTTTGTGACATGTCATGTACCACTTTTAGAAATTGTTTTCACCCACTGCCTTGTAGGAAGTGGCATGAGACTTTCTAGTTATCAAGATACAAATTGTTGAATGTGCTACCATTTTCCCTTGGCTAGGTGATGTTCATAAAGTTTTCTACACTAAGGCTTCCTTTTTTCAGACATGTCATGAAAGCGACTGTGCTACTTTTCTAAACTGACATCCCTTTGATTATGTTGTGTAGTGTTCCATGGGGAATGTGGATAGTTTTCCCTTTGACCTTTGTGTTTGTGGATTCTCACAGATTAAAAGATGCAGCACTTTGCTTACCACTGCTGGGGTATCTTTTTGGATGGTCCTGGTTCCCCAAGTTGATGCATATTCCTTTGCTTCTCAATGCCATTAACTATAAGGAATATAACTTGTTTTGGAAATTCTAAGTCCCTGAACTGAACACATCTTTATGATCATCGTATATGAATATTTTTGTATTGGAAAAAGCTATTGCATATCCTTCCTAAAATTGATAATTTTTTGGTGGAATCATGCTGGCAACAGAACACCAAACAATGTTAAAATGTAGTTCTGATACACAGTGCTCCACCATGACTTTATATTAGTGTGGCTGTCATGCGACTTGCTGAGTTATTTGCACAATCAAAATTGTTTAAATATAACATACACAATTCTCTGTATAACTAAATATCATATATAAAGGTATACCCTGAAAAGGTGAATTAAATATTTAAGGGTGTAATGACCACTAAAATATCTAATATAATTACTACATATATAACTGCTGACACCGTAAAAAGTTGTTCCTACATGCTTACATAGTCATAAATACTATTTCATGCACTTAATTAAACTTGCAAGGTAAGTACACCACAAACTGAATTGTTGAAAAAAAGTCACAACATAATTTTTCTATTATAATAATAAGTTGTTAAGCTTTATTTGTCAAGGATATATCAGAATCAGAAGAGTGAAAAATTAGAAGCCATAAATTTCAATATCAAATTTTGTGTCCACACTGAGCTATACATTCACACGAAACACTACAGTCTGCACATTGTAAGATAGAGAATTGATGCTGCTTGTATTAGGTCTCATAATAAACTCTTAGTCATAAATGAAAAAATTATTGATACTCCAGATCACCTTAAATCAAATTTTGCAACAAACCTGATGAAAAGCTGGAATTATAAGTCTGACATACTGGTCAATGTGCTTAAGACAAAATAGTTTTTAGCTAAGACTCAAGGAAAATAGTTTAGCAAATATATTTTTTAGTAATTTCTTATAAATTTATTCATTTACTATTACCACAGAAAAACATTCTATAATGATGGGGTAACAACACATTTTAATTTTGAATTTGTAATCAATATGGCAGATTGAGTACAGGATCTGGGTCAAGTATCAGACAGAAATTGTTAAAATTGATTTACAGCCTGACTTTTGTGCAAACTAATAGTAATAATATATATCACTAATATAAACACATAACACTGTACAGCTGGGGGGGGGGATTAATTCAATCTATATAACTAATCACTTATGAGTATCAATTACATGAATTAGAAAAGTATCACATAAATTATAGAAAAATTAAAATGACAATTTAGTTTATTAATGATATAAAAATTATCAAAAATCAAAGTTAGTGTTTCCTAGTTCTCCAACTATCCAAATAATTGAAATATTGCCATTATGATTTTCAATTAATTCAAGTTTTTTCAACTTAATCTACTGGAGTTATGACTCATGAAAAATAATCAGGTAATTGAAATAAGCGTTTCCAGTTATCACTATTTATTATTATTCCAACTATATATGTAACCAAAGTATTGTAATAAGGTTTTTAAAAATTAATTCAAGTTAGTTCAGCTTCAGATCAACAATATGGCTGATAATTATGATGTTTGTTTCTTAATTAGATTCATGTTGTTATCAAATATGTTTGCCTCTTTTAGTTGTGTTAGTGTTATATTTGTTACTTTGGTTTTGAGCTATGGCAAAGTACTAAGGCTGTTACCATGCCCAATTCTAAACTGCTGACGAGAGGGAAGGTGACAGGCTGGCAACACTGACCACCAACTTTTAAGTTACTCTTCAAATAGTTGAATTTATGATGACATTATAATGTTCCTATGCCTGAAAGGGCAAACATGTTTGGAGGCACTAAGTATCAAATCTGTGATAATCAATTCACAAGACAATCACCCTAACCATGGAACAACCTTATTTGTTGGTAAAGGGTAGCTCAAGGGCTGGTGGTGGATATTATCGGACGATTGCCTTCTTTGGTCAGCAGTTCCAAATTACAGATGGGAGTAGACAGTCTTAGTAGTACAGTCATAATATAAACTTGTTCAGCTTCAGATAAATACGAGCTAAACTCACATACATCACAATAACAAGTACTACTACTGTTGGTGCAATTGAGTGCAGCAGTATGCATGAATTCTGCTTGTACTCAACTTGCATATGTGAAGGTGTGTTCCATTGGCCACTGATTACATAACTATCCATGGTGATTGTTCATGTTTACTTTACTGGAGTAAACAATAGTGTAGCTTAAAACAAAACCAGTGTTACTAAGTGTAATAATTCTTTAATAAAAAAAGTTGAGGCAAATTAATATTCATTATTTTTTATTTGCTCAAAGAAAATATTTATTGGGGAACAACTTAACTATTTAACTGTAGTTGTCAGAAGCTACTATCCATGGTCTAATAACAGTAACAATATACAATACTGTTAAGTCATTAATCTATTTAAACAAACAGGACTCTGTTTAATTATGACTAGCTCTAGCTAGATATAAAATACTGAAAATAGAAAACAAAAGACTGATTATGTATAATTAGGCTGCAATTACAATATAACCTTCATTATGTGCAATGACAAAGAAACACATAATAAGATTACAGTGTAGAATAAATTGACATTTGTTTGATTCCTAATAAATTTTTGGATTACTTCACACTGGAATATAGTTATGAACAACAGAATGACTAATTTTATACCCATGACAATCTTATTTCCCTTTACTTCTAACAATGGTGCATGCTGTTATCTTTATTATCCTTTTGGACAATGAAGATGTACTAAGTATCCATGTGTCAATTACCACCAACTAAGGCTTGATAAAGGTATGTTTGTATAAAATTGCAAGCTGATCCCCAGAATTAAGTGTAAGTGACTGACATGTATGTTAACCTGTCCTTAATAGTAATCTTACTAGTCACTGTTATGCTTACTACTTTTCTGATTTATAATCAACATCATAAAGAAATATTTACTTTCATAAACATAAATTCAATAGTTTAATAAAGTAGTCATTAAAATTTGTAGGAAGAAACCTACAGAATACTATTAATAATTTCAGCTTGTAGTTGTAAGAGGTTTTGTACTATGTTACTTATAGGATAAATTTCGATGTGCAACAGATAAGGATTTTGAAAGTAACTTAATCCCAACTTGTTGTACCTGAAGATGTCTTATCAGTATCAGTTTAAATAAATAGTAGTTCAAAAAGTTCTTTAAAAAACCCTTAACAATCTAAAAGTACAAAGATTAATCTCATGTGAGAGTAAAATATCAGTTGAATGTAATAACTTAATGATACTGACAATTAATCAATTAGTACTAATCACACAGTTTTAGACATGTATCTTGGCCGAGGTTCCCGTCTAATGATTTAATAGGAATTTAAATAATGGTCGGGTACTTTAATTTCATTATAATTTGAGTTTGGGGGAATCACTGTACTTACTACTGTAGTCACCAACATTAATAACTACATAAATATTTACGTATGTCTATCTAGTAGTAACCACTATGGCACCAATAACATTTAACTCTAAGTTTAATCGATAATTAAATAAACATTTAATGTTAATACTAGAACATTAATAATCAGGACAAGCGACAAATTATTCTATTTATCATTAAATGATTTAATATGATCACTAATAATAATATAATAATAAGTTTTACTATTAGTATTAATATTATTAACAGAAGTACTCTAAATCTAGTACTATACAATATCGTAACTTCAAATTCAACTACAGTTAATTATAATATTAACCACCAGTACTACTAACCTATAAATTATAATAATTTTTATATATAAAATTATAACTTATATTTTTATAAATATAAATTCTAAGATTAATTCGTACGAGAAAGTTCATACAATTAATTATAACTAAGCTCTACTTCTCGTAATTCTACTAAACTGTACTCAATACATATGAAAAACAACACGATATGAAATATGACTTACCTAACAATTGTTAGAATAGTTAAATTGTCTAATAATATAATATAACTATAGGTTAATAAATAAAATTAGGCTTATTTTAAGCCTTGGACCCTCACGTTCTAACTACCTCAGATGGGCAAACTCTAGAACTACAAAACAGTTCTAGCCTGACTTTCAAACGCACACGTCACTCCTAACTTCCTAAGAACTTTGCCACGTCAGCTGGTATTGTTAAGTTGCGACATCTACAAGAGTGTTATAGAATAAATGAAATAGCTATATAAGAATAAATTATAAAAACTATACTGCGTTTAACTACTTGATTTATAAATTCCTATTTTAATACACATCAGCTCAATATACTATTTTAATTGTTATTTTTTATGCAAGATAATTATATCGGATTATGATGCAGTGTCTTTAATCTTGATTCATTAAAAGGTGTATTGACTATATTTCCGGAATTTACTTTCCGTGAACTGTAATAATGAAGCTTCAAGTGATACTGCATTATATTCAAATGAAAATGAATTAACTACGTATCTTAACTAGATTTAAGGTTTCTAGGTGGTCTTGAATATTTTCAGTATATAGCACCATGGGAAAGAAACGCTACTCAATTTCATTGAATGCTTAAACACATTAAGACCAAGTGTCATAATTTTTACATATGAAATAGAATCCAACAGTTATCTTCCCTTTTTAGATGTGAATGTAAAAAGGGAAAAATAATAAAGTTACCACCAGTATATACAGGAAACTCCGTACCGTCATCATACTACCACACATAAGATCTAATCACCATCGATCACAGAAAATATCATCCAACTTCACCTACATAAATTGTGCTATACAACTTTGCACACACAAAAAAAGACTTACTTATCGAATTGAACTACTTAAGGAACATAGCACTATGTAGAAGTTTCAGCTCTCATAGATAGGCCTTGCATCAATTTTCAAAACATTGAAAAATATTTTGTTAACTCTAACCTTTCGCCTATCAACAACTGACTTTGGTGTTCTTTGCGTCTTATTTCTAAGGGACGCGACGTTTGTCCTAACTATTTCTTTCCACATTCACATGAAATATTGTATATGTCCTATTTTTGTTTTTTTAAATGTGGATTCTTTCGGGTTAGGTAGTAAGACGCCAATTTTATGAGAAGGTTTGAAAACAGTTTTTAAATCAATGTTCAAATTATTAAAAGACTAATAATTTCGTTAGCAATTTCTGACACAAAAGGGAATGAAACAAATTTGTTATGTATTTTCATGCGGTAGAGGTGAATTCCAGATATCTATCTTAACGTATCATCAGTATGAAACAGGTCACAAAATACCCTGGAATAAAATTATTCTCCTGCACCAACTCAAAACTAAAAAAAAAAAAGACTGTTTAGAAATTATAGAAAACATCAAAGCACTAAACCGTCATGATGGCCCTAGCAACATCAGTGTGTTTGGCAAGGTCTATTCACCGTTCATACACTTGACCAGACTTGACCTCTTCCTATATCCTGTCACCCGCTGACACCATTTCCGTGACATTTAATTTCTGTCTTTTGTCTTTGTAACGATATATAAACATCATATTGCTTAGTACTGATCATATCTGAAGAAGACAGACCAATATTCTATCGAAACAAATAGTATGTTTCACCATCAATAAAACTTTTCCTTGTGCTTATAAATCGTTGTTTGCCTACCTATTATTATAGTAACATAATGTGCTTCCTTACTCAAGTTTACTACGTTAATGTAAAAATAAACTTACTTGTACAACTTTGTGGCTGATCGATCATGTAACTAAAAACAAAACACTGATTGGCTGTGCTCTAGCTGAAGCAAAAACACTGTATGATTGATAGATCCTACTGAATAGATATAACTCTAACCAATGTTTTACTGCCCATTCTGTTCATAACCTGCTGTTACGCCCCTGTGTTCGTTTGTTAATTTTTCGTAAAAATTCTTTCCGAAGAAACTTTAGCGATACGAGTCCTTTCTTAAATAAAACTACTTTATTCTTTCTAAATACAACTTTGCAATACACTTAATTTTCACAGTCACGCTATAATTCACAACGAACGATTCACGCGCTTGACTCAATTGTCCGTCTCTATCTCTGTCTGCAATTCAATTCCATTGTTACCGTCACTTCATGGCGGTCTTATATACAAGAATACCGCACATCTAGTAAACACTCGAGCATTCAAGAACCTTCGAGAATATCATGACGTGTTGCTAGCGTCACGTGATTTCCGCTGTTGTAACACTGCCCCTTCCTTAGTATTTTTCGTCCCGAACAATAGCCATTTAAATTAAACCAATAGATAATTAACAATAACTTAATTAAATGTACAGAATTTGCAAATACTACAAACACAAAAATTAAAATTTAACAAAGTCTCTTAATTTTACGGGACGTATCTTCTTCCGTACTGGCTTCTGCTTCACGTGAGGTTTATCTGCTCCATCAGGAATTGTCCTATCATCGGTAATGGTCACCTCAGTGATAGTAACTTCATGAAGGGCTTTACTGTTTCCCTTCTCAAAACCGAGTAGAGTTTCTTCTTCGATAGTGGCCTTTCCAGGTGACAAGTCTTCAGCGGCGTCTTTTGTTTCGTTGTTCACTTCATTCCAACTGAAATGTCTTGGACTGTGATAACGCAAAGCCTGTTGGCATGCATCACCTTTGGCTTACCTCGCCGCCCACATTTTCTCCGGAATATCACGTCTGAGAGACGACCCACAATGTCATATGGGCCTTCCCATGGAGATGACAACTTAGGAGACTTCCCTTTGGTCTTCCTCGGATTATACAACCACACCTTGTCTCTTGGTACAAAACTGACTTCAGTAGATCTCTTATCATAAGATAACTTCATCGAATCAGCAGACGTTTTCAAGTTTGAACACACTTGATGGTGAATGTTATTCATCCTTTCCGATAACAATTTCACGGATTCTGACACATTTTCAGGCAACTCTTCATAAGGTGGGTGTCCTGTTAACAGATCCACTGGCAACCGAAGTTCCCGACCAAACATCAACTTTGCTGGAGTGTATTCAGTGGTTTCATGCTCTGCTGTCCTATAGGCCATCAACAGTAGAGGGAGTAAGACATCCCAGTCATCTTGGCGGCTATTACAAAACTTTGCTAATTCCTGTCCCAGCGTCCAGTTGTACTTTTCTACCATCCCATCAGACTGTGGGTGATGTG